TTTTTTTTTTTTTTTGAGATGGAGTCTCACTCTGTCACCCAGGCAGGAGTGCAGTGGCACAATGATCTTTGTTCACTGTAGCCTCTGCCTCCTGGGTTCAAGCGATTCTCCTGCCTCAGCCTCCCGAGTAGCTGGTATTACAGGCATGAGCCACTGTGACCAGCTAATTTTTCTATTTTTGTAGAGACTGGGTTTCACCATATTGGCCAGGCTGGCCTCAAACTCCTGACCTCATGTGATCCGCCTGCCTTGGCCTCCCAAAGTGCTGGGATTATAGGCGTGAACCACTGCACCTGGCCAAGGTAGTTTTAAAATATATTTTATTTTATTTTATTTTATTTTATTTTATTTATTTATGAGACAGAGTTTCCCTCTTATTGCCCAGGCTGGAGTACAGTGGTGCGATCTTGACTCACTGCTACCTCCGCCTCCCAGGTTCAAGTGATTCTCCTGCATCAGCCTCCTGAGTAGCTGGGATTACAGACATGCGCCACCATGCCTGGCTAATTTTGTATTTTTAGTAGACATGGGGTTTCTCCATGTTGTTCAGGCTGGTCTTGAACTCCCGACCTCAGGTGATCCTCCTGCCTCGGCCTCCCATAAAGTGCTGGGATTATAGGCATGAGCCACCGCACCCGGCCAAAATATATTTTTAAAAGTATATCACTTGAAAAACTGTGTGTGTGTGTGTATGTGTGTGTGTGTAAGAGACAAGGTCTCACTTTGTTGCCCAGGCTGGTCTCAAACTCCTGGGCCCAAGTGATGCTCCCACCATGCCCTCCCAAAGTATTGGGATTTACAGGCCTGAGCCACAGCACCTGGCCTTTTTTAAAAATATATATGTTTTGTTTTTTCATTTTTTTTTGTTTAATATTGGATGAAATGCAATATATTATGATTGTAGCTCTAGAAGTAAACTTCATATATTTAAGAAAATTTCTAGAAAAAAAATAGAAACATCATACTGTCAGCCAGGCACAGTGGCTCACGCCTGTAATCCCAGCACTTTGGGAGGCCGAGGCAGGCTGATCACAAGGTCAGGAAATCGAGACCATCCTGGCCAACGTGGTGAAACCCCGTCTCTGCTAAAAATACAAAAAATTAGCCAGATGTGGTGGCAGACGCCTGTAGTCCCAGCTACTCACGAGGCTAAGGCAGGAGAATGGTGTGAACCTCAGAGGCGGAGTTTGCAGTGAGCCGAGATCGCTTGGGCGCCACAGTGAGACTCAGTCTCAAAAAAAAAAAAAAAAAAAAAAATTATAGTGGAGGTCAAGAACTGGCTTCCAAATATTTAAATTCACCTCATGTCGATTGTGCCTATATCCAGAATTTGGTCCTCCTTTCCCAATCCGCAAATTGTGACTAGACCTTAGTAACATTAGGGCCCTTAACTCAGTCTTCAACCCAGACAACACTCAGGTAGAACAAATTAACTTTGGAAAATTTGGAAATGAACATGGGTTCTCTCTACTCCAGCTCCCCCTTGTCATCTCTGGCAAGTCCAGGTAAAGAGCTCATTGAGTAGGGAGAAACTGCTCCCTCCTCCTGAGAGGTTGAAATAATTTTTTTAAAGAATAGGTTAAGCCGGGTGCGGTGGCTCACGCCTGTAATCCCAGCACTTTGGGAGGCCGAGGCAGGCGGATCATGTGAGGTCAGGAGTTCAAGACTAGCCTGACCAACATGGTGAAACCCCATCTCTACTAAAAATACAAAAAATTAGCTGGGCGTGGTGGCGGGCACCTGTAATCCCAGCAACTTGGGAGGCTGAGGCAGGAGAATCACTTGAACGCAGGAAGTGGAGGTTGCAATGAGCCGAGATCGTACCATTGCACTCCAGCCTGGGCAGCAAGAGCGAAACTCTGTCTCCACAAAAAAAAAAAAAAAGAAAAAAAAATAGGTTAAAAGGAATATCACATGAAAAACTATGTTACTTTGTATATATGGTGTATATAAGAAATATATAGAAGAGGCCGGGCATGGTGGCTCATGCCTGTAATCCCAGCACTTTGGGAGGCCGAGGCCGAGGCAGGCAGATCACCCAAGGTCAGGAGTTCTAGACCAGCCTGGCCAACACAGTGAAACCCTGTCTCTACTAAAAATACAAAAAATTATCTGGGCGCGGTGGCTCACATCTATAATCCCAGCTACTCGGGAGGCTGAAGCAGGAGAATCAGTTGAACTCCAGAGGAGGAGGTTGCAGTGAGCTGAGATTGCACCACTGCACTGCAGCCTGAGCTACACAGTGAGACTCTGTCAAAAAAAAAAAAAAAAAAAAGAAAAGAAAAGAAAGAAAGAAATATATAGAATCAATCCACTTGCCCATAATGGGGAAAGAAATACAATACCACTTAGAACAATACCATTTTCACCATTTCTGAGCTTACCTGTTTTTTCCACCTTGTGGATAAATAGGTATTAGCTAAAGAGAGAATAAATGCTTATTTGTAAATTCTTTTGGTTTGATTTGTTTTTTTCTTTTTTTTGAGACAGGGACTGACTTTGTCCCCCAGGCTGGAATGCAGTCGCGTGATCACAGCTCACTGCAGCCTAGACCCCCTGGGCTGAAGTGATCCTCTTGCCTTAACCTCCCAAGTTGTTGGGCGTATAGGTGCCTGCCACCACACCTAGCTAATTTTTGTTTTTGATTTTTAGTGAGAAGAGGTCTTGTTATGTTCCCAGGCTGATCTTGAACTCTTAGGCTCAAGCAATCCTCTTGCCTTGGCCTCACAAAATGCTGGGATTACAGGTGTGAGCCACCACTTCTGGCCCTTTATCTGTAAAATTTCAAAGCATCAAAGAAGGAAAGAGAGCTTAATTAATATCATCTTTAGTAGTTGAACGAACTCAAGGAGGAGAAATAATAGAAGAAAAGGTCATGGCTTTCATAATTCGTTGCAGCCATGAATAAGAGCTGCTGTAGTTATAGCATATATTCCCCAGTTCTTTTTTCATTCAAAAGACTGTACCTTTCGGAATTATGTCATTAATGATGAATTAAAGTAGATGTTTGGGGTAGTGAGGCAGTTACTAAGTCCTTTCCACTGAAACCGAAGAACCGGGCATTTTATTCACGTTTGTTTCCTGATTTACAGTTGCTACAAGCACCAATGTTGAAAACACATATTTCTGTGGCTCATCTTCGCCGTCTTTACTTGCAGTGCTTTCAAAGAGAACAATGGCTGTTTCTAGTTCAGAAATGGGTGTTAGTAGCTCAGAGCTAGGAGATTTCACGTGTTGTGAATACGAACAAGCTGTTTTGTGATAAAGAACCAATGCAGCGGGGAAAACCAACATCGATTACAGCAGTTATTCAGTGTATCTTTGTATTTGAGGGGAAAAAGGAGGGACACTGTTGTTTTGCTCTTATTTTTTCCCCTCTTTCTTTTCCCACTTTAGACAAAGCCCGTGGCATTTGCAGTTCGGACAAATGTCAGCTACAGTGCGGCCCATGAAGATGATGTTCCAGTGCCCGGCATGGCCATCTCATTCGAAGCAAAAGATTTTCTGCATGTTAAGGAAGTAAGGAGAATAATTTCATTTTCTATCAGCGTGATGTTTCACCTTGACATACCATCTCTTATTTCCTATTCAGATGCCGTTTCTGTGAAGCAGCATTGCACATCACTGCAGTTGTATAACATACATACTAAATCAATGGCTCTCAACCTCTGCTAATATAAATATACCTTTTAAAGTGGAAAGAAGTCACGGGCCTCTTGCAATAACTTCAGCACTCCCTGGGGCTCTGTGGCCCAGAAATTGGGAACTGCTAGAGTAGATGATCCTTTTTTATACTTAACCTGTACTTCTTCTTTTAATGTTTCACCTTGACTAGGTGTAGTTTTCTGATGCCTGAAGTCTAGCCATCTGGGGAAGGTTTAATAATAATATCTAGAATTCGTGACTCCTCTCTGCTGGCAGTGTCTAAACTCAAACTACTGATGCCCTTTTTCCTCCTTAAATGCTAAATTTCTGCAGTGGATGAGAGAATGGTAAGCATTGATGCCAGTAAGGCAACAAAGAGGTATCAGGAAAAGTCCTTTTCCCACATGCTAAATGTCTCCACCTTTTAGTGAGCAATGATACAACCTGCAAACTGGAAACATTCATCCTTAATTAAGCTTTGCTTGGAGTCAACATTTATCAAATGCCTGCCTTGTGGAGCACTGTGTTAACTGACCAGAAATTTCCCCTGTAGAATATTCTCAGTGTGTGATCCTGAGGTTTTTCTTGGACCTGGAGGAATTTATACTTGGAGCCCTTCCATGTAGGGTATAATATGTTATAGGAAGCATGTGTAAATTTAATCTCTTCACTGCACTAAAGGCTGTCAGCAAAGGAGTTGATGACTGCCAATTAAAAGAGCCTAGGGCCGGGTGCAGTGGCTCATGCCTGTAATCCCAGCACTTTGGGAGGCCAAGGCGGGCGGATCACAAGGTCAGGAAACCAAGACCATCCTGGCCAACATGGCGAAACCCTGTCTCCACTAAAAATACAAAAATTAGCTGGGTGTAGTGGCGTATGCCTGTAATCTCAGCTACTCGGGAGGCTGAGGTAGGAGAATAGCTTAAACCAGGGAGTCGGAGGTTGCAGTGAGCCGAGATCGCGCCACTGCCCCCCAGCCTGGAGACAGAGCGAAATTCAGTCTAAAAAAAAAAGAAGAACCTAGAAGCCTGGATACTATGGCTCATGCCTGTAATCCAAGCACTTTGAGAGGTCGAGGAAGCCTGATCTCTTGAACCCAGGAGTTTGAGACCAGCCTGGGCAACAGGGCAAAACCCCATCTCTACAAAAAGAAAAAAAAAATTAGCTGGGCATGGTGGTACACACTGGGAGTCCCAGCTACTCAGGAGGCTGAGGCCAGTGGATTGATTGAGCCTGGGAGTTCAAGACGGAAGTGAGCCGGGATCATGTCAATGTATTCCAGCCTGGGCGACAGAGCAAGACCCTATCTCGATTAAAAATAAAACAGCCTAGAGAATTTAGAGCCTACCATTTTGGTAACCTCTGAAAAGAGATGTCAAATACTGGCTTGGTGGGAACAATAGAAAAAGTTATCAAAAGTGATGCTGTGCCTAGAATCTCACTTAACACCGGGAAGTTAGATTATTACGGGGTCTCTTGATGGTTGGTGCTGAAAGGGGAAAGGAGAAAAACAGAATGTATATTCTTCTTTGAAGTGTTCAAGGACAGATTTATTCCATCAAGGAAAATGAAGGCAGATCATAAAGATTTAAGATACATATTCCACCTGCAAGAGATAAATTGTCAACATCACTCAAGTAGAGAAATCATCTGTGAACATCGCACTGTGTAATTATAAAACTGTTTGCACAAAGGTAAATTGTCCTGTGACATGAAATATTTAAGGTAGACTTCAATATTTATCTCTTTCTCTCAATACTTCCAATTGGTCTGATTATATAAGGGGAATATTTCTGTAACACTACTTCCTAAAGATCTCTTGGTAGGATGGGCTGTTATTCTTTGAACCCAGAGAGCTTATCCCTACTCAAGGTGACAGCAGCTGCTGCAATGGAATTCAGCCTGGTCCTACGGCAGCACCAAGACAGACAAGGAACGAAGAGCCTTCGACAGATTGCTGAGGACACTAAAAACATTTCTTACATGTGAAACCCATGAGCCAAAGGGTTTCTTGAATGATAATATTTGAGGCATAGTTCATTGTCATTGCCATGTTTCTCTCCACTGAAAATAGTGTGGAAGAACAAGGATTTGACCTTCTGTGCACTGATTTTTAATGCTTTTGATTTTGTGTTTAGAAATTTAACAATGACTGGTGGATAGGGAGACTGGTAAAAGAAGGCTGTGAAATCGGATTCATTCCAAGCCCAGTAAAACTAGAAAACATGAGGCTGCAGCATGAACAGAGAGCCAAGCAAGGGAAATTCTACTCCAGGTATGAGACAGATGTCAAGTGTTTGCATAAAACTTAGATTATACCACTATCTGTGTACTGTTGTCTGCTGTATTCTATATCCTTTATTATGTATTAACAAGGAGGCTGGTGATATGGTTTATTGATAGCATCACAAATCTTGCATTTTCCTGCATTTAAAAAACTTCAATCCACCACCTGATTTTCATCCTATTTGGGGAAGTATCAAATTATTATCATTAATGAAAAGAGCTAAGGTCACAGAGTATTAAATCCAGGCTCCAGTGCTGAGAAAATTCTGAAACCTTAATCGTTTACTGAAAAATAGTCTGGCACAGAATAGCCGTGGTGACTAATCCCACTGTCTGTAGCTGCCTGGTATGGCTAGGAGATGTTTGGGAGATGACAGTCTCAGACATCATCAGGAAATGGCAGCTCTTGTCATCTGTTAGTTTCATTTTCACCTGAGAAACTCAATTTTCAGTTCTACCCACTGTTAAGCACTTAAAGAGAAGCAAAGTATGAAACAAGTTAAAACTGCCTGTGCAGATGGCAATTAGATGAGTTATGTAAGAAGCTGGGGCTGAATAATCCCTCCTAGGATTCGTGAGGTTGTCTGCCCCTCTCTAAAAGAATCGCTAGAAAGCCTTCTCATACACATACTGAATTTTACATGGAATCATATGCAGATGGGTCTAGGGATGCAGCATGCCTCTCCCTATGTGAAAGGATGGGACATGGGCAAGGCCTTTCTTAAATGTGAATCGCTGGATTTCTGTTTTCTCCATCTTACATCTTATTTGTTTATCTAAGATGCAAATCCCTTTGTCAGTGATAATACTTTAATGTTAGCAAGTATTTTTTTTCAAGCATCAGCAGATGAGTGAAACAGAATATGCTTTGTGGTTTGGAATACCCATCCTCATTAACTGGCTTTTTATAATTGTCAAGTTCATTTAGTTCAGATGGATTCCTCTGTGTTTTGAGACCTCCACCCCAGAACTGACTTTCATTAATTCCTGGGTTATTGAGAGTGCTCGGATGGTGAGATGCATTCAGTCAGATAAAAGTAGAGGCGTGCATAAAAAAGAACAAGATTGGCCAGGCGCAGTGGCTCATGCCTGTAATCCCAGAACTTTGGGAGGCTGAGGCAGACGGATCACCTGAGGTCAGGAGTTCAAGACCACCCTGGCCAACATGTTGAAACCCCATCTTTACTAAAAATACAAAAATTAGCCAGGTGTGGTGTTGGGCACCTGTAATCCCAGCTACTCAGGAGACTGGGGCAGGAGAATTACTTGAATTCGGGAGGTGGAGGTTGCAGTGAGCCCAGATCGTGCCATTGCACTCCAGCCTGGGCGACAGAGTGAGACTCCATCTCAAAAAAAAAAAAAACAAACAAGATCATGTCCTTTGCAGCAACCTGGATGGAGCTGGAGGCCATTATCCCAAGTGAACTAACACAGGAATAGAAAACCAAATACAGGGACCGGGCGCAGTGGCTCACACCTGTAATCCCAGCACTTTGGGAGGCTGAGGCGGGCGAATCACAAGGTTAAGAGATTGAGACCATCCTGGGCAACATGGTGAAACCCCATCTCTACTTAAAAAAAAAAAAAAATACAAAAATTAGCTGGGCATGGTGGCATGTGCCTGTAGTCCCAGCTACTTGAGAAGTTGAGGCAGGAGAATCGCTTGAACCCTGGAGGCGGAGGTTGAAGTGAGCCTAGATCGCGCCACTGCACTCCCGCCTGGCGACAGAGTGAGGCTCCATCTCAAAAAAACAAAAACAAACAAACAAAAAAAAACAAATACTGCATGTTCTCACTTGTAAGTGAGAACTAAACATTGAGAACATACGGACACCAGGAAGGGAACACTGGATACTGGGGACTACTTGAGGGTGGAGGATCGGGGGAGGGTGAGGATCAGAAAAACCACCTCCTGGTGTGTTATGTTCATTATCTGGGTGACAAAATAATCTGTACACCAAATCCCTGAGACATGCAATTTACCTGTGTAACAAACCTGGACATGTACCATTATTATCATTAGCAGCAGTAAATTATTCATTAGGCCAACGTATATATAATGCATATTTTATATGCAATATTAAATATTAAACTTTTGTTGAAAATGCATTTCTTAATGAGAAAAAAAAGTAGAGGCGTGTAGATAAATAACGTATCTGCATTTTGCCTGCAGGGTGTTCGAAGACCTGATAGTATTCTTTCAATTCTTAATGTTCCATTGGCCTTATTTTGTGTTTTCCTACCCTCTGTATTGAAAATGGTATCATAATACTAGTTAACAAAACCTTATGGCCAGGCGCGGTGGCTCATGCCTGTAAGCCCAGCACTTTGGGAGGCCAAAGCAGGTGGATCACTTGAGGCCAGGAGTTTGAGATCAGCCTGGCCAACATGGTGAAACCCCGTCTCTACTAAAAATACAAAAGTAGCTGGGCGTGGTGGTGCATGCCTGTAATCCCAGCTACTCAGGAGCCTGAGGTATGAAAATCACTTGAACTTGGAAGGCGGAGGTTGCAGTGAGCAGAGATCATGTTCCAACCTGGGCGACAGTGAAACTCCGTCTGAAAAAACAAACAAACAAAAAACCACCTTATATGGAAAAATGTTGTTGTAATAGGGTGTAAACATTGCTCTTATCAACTAGGTAGTATATAGTTTGTTGAGGTTTGAAGTTATCCCAGCTGGGGGACGTTTTGTTTTTAGTTAGGACAATTCAGCATTTTTCAGAATTTTCTTGTCAAATCACTTGAGAAAGGGGTTCCAAGATAAAATAAATTTAGGATAGCTCTAGGTAATAGAAAGTTACTTTAGGATTTTTCAGAGCCTTTTAATGTGATCATGTACACCGTGAATCTCTGTTGGAATGGGATTTTTTTTAAGTATTTACTAAAATTACTTTCTCATCAAAACTCCTCTGGTTGATGTCTTAGGAAGAGTGTTTTGTAGAATGCATTTTGGAAAATTTGGGATGGATTTTTGCAGAGGCAGACTTGTGTCTTTTTCTGCCTCTTCATACAGAAACTAAGAAATGAGAACAACTTCAAAGGGAGTAGAAATTTTTCCCAAAATTGTCAGAGAAGTGTAGTCTCCTGTGTCTCCCAAATGGGCTTCCCTAGGCTAACATTAATGCTCCACTCATCTTTATAAGGACCTGTGGGAGCAGTGGGTATTAGATCTTACAGGTCACAGATAAGAAAACAGGTTAAGAGAAGTTAGAGAACTTGACCAAGGTCGCAGAGCTAGTAAGCGTCAGAACCAAGATGGCAACCTGACCTCCATGCTGTATAGACTTCCATGCTGTACTGCAAATTGAGGAGCCAAGTCTTGCCAGGCACAGCAAGCCCAGGACAAATGGTTATTGCCATCTGTTACTATTTACTTTATTAGATATGTTGCTTTACTCTTGCATTTTTTTCCTTAGGATTCTGAGTAATCCATATTTGAGGGAATGTAACATCTCAGAACTTACTCCAGAGAACTAGGTTACCTTTTCTTACAGCCATATATCTTTTTCTTTGATTTTCTTCATTTTATTTTGTCTCAAGATTTTGCCTAAGTATATGAAAATACTTTTACTTGCTTTCACAGGTTTTTACATTTCTCTCCTTTTTTTTTTCTTTTTTTAAGTCTTGCTCTGTGCCCAGGCTTGAGTGCAGTGGTGCAATCTGGGCTCACTGCAACCTCCACTCCCGGGTTCAAGTGATTCTCCTGCCTCAGTCTCTCTCCTGCCTCTCTCTCTGTAGCTGGGACTACAGGCACGCGCCACCATGCCCAGCTAATTTTTGTATTTTTAGTAGATACAGGGTTTCACTGTGTTGGCCAGGCTGGTCTCAAACTCCTGACCTCAGGTGATCCACCCACCTCGGCCTCCCAGAGTGTTGGGATTACAGGCGTGAGCCACTGTGCCGGCCTCTCCTAACATTTTAAATGCACTTTTGTTTTGAGGACATAACCAGAATCTGGCAGTCTTTAAAAACTCTGATACAGAAATTATAAAAATTGACAGAACTCAATGGAAATGGAATTGGGGTACAATTCAAGAACTTGGCATTTTAATAGAATTAAAAGTTAGGGACAAATCTGCATCCTAGCCATTGTCACCGTTTGCAGTATTTGTCACAATTTTATATAACTCAAATAATATTTGGCTGTTACTAAAATTCAAAGGAAATATAAAACCCATGAACTTGAACTGAAATTAGACTTAATACTTTAGGGGAAAAAAAAAAAAAACTTCTGGGAAAAAAATGTTTTGGTCTTGGTAATAGGTCCTTGTATAACTGCCAGAAACTGCTTTTATAAATATCACTTGTCATTAATTTCACATACTGTCTGATGCCCTTACTAAATATATTTGAGTATCTCTTAACCTTAAACAGATATAGAGCCCTCTTGCTAATTGCCTAATAGTTTTTGATGTTTATGCATAAAAATGCTAGAACAGTAGCAATAACATTCAGCCTGTTACTGATACTTTAATAAAACTTTTATTTTCATATTAATATTTACATAAGCAAATATTGCCCTTTGATGCATAAATGCTGTAGCAAATTCTTTCAACTAGACCCTGGCTTGGCCATAATAATAAACATTAGGCAGTGAGATCATTTTGCCCAAATTTAAAATGTTCTTCTCATCTTCATCTGAGAGAGGGGTCATTCAGTAACATGTTATTTAGCATGCCAGTATGCTGGTGAAAAACACAAATGCTGTTGTTCTAATATTAACTCCAATGTTTCTGAGACACTGAAGTTTATCTTACATCAAACTTTCGAATTTGGTAGTTGTGAAATGTATGATGTTCAGATTATTCCTAAATTAACCAAGTTTCATTCTCCATGTGAGTCATGCTTGAGAAATATTCTGGGTACTATCTGATGACTACATCATATCATATTCTGTTTAGTCGTGTCTCTTCGTGTGTCTTTTAGTGGTTGGCAAGTTTTCATGTGGCTCTGTTGTTCTTTGATAGGTTGCTCATAAAAGCTTGTGTGCTTTCAGTCTTAGTATACTATTAATAAAATAAGCCTAAAACAGAGGAGTTGCAACCAAACAAGAAGGAAATATTAATCTTGGGTGTTAGCCTTAAGGTTCTATGCATCACCTCTGAGGGGCTCTAAAATAAAAAGCAAAATAAATCTGTGCTGTTTTGCTATCTGTGATCTGGGCAGATAACTTGAGGGCTGCAGAAATTACACTGGTTCTCTTCCATTCTCTCAGGGCCTTTTAAAATTAAACCTTCAATTTGAAATCACAGACCATCATGTGCCTATTTCAAGTACTCCAGGAATCTCCACTGGGAAATGTTGTTTTCTTCCTTAAATGAAAGATAAGTTTAAAGTTGAATAAAAACACAATGAATTATCATGTTTATTGAGTAATGTAAACATTTGAGGATCTGAAATAAGTGTCAGATTTAATAGAAATTTTTGCTTTACTCCAGTAAATCAGGAGGAAATTCATCATCCAGTTTGGGTGACATAGTACCTAGTTCCAGAAAATCAACACCTCCATCGTCTGGTAAGTAGGTGATAAATGCTAAATAATACATATTGCATTACATGCTTTCCCCAGTCCTATCCAGTTTTGTGAATTTACATATGCACTGAATCACTATGTTAACCCTACAGACATTAAAAGGAATCAGAAGTAAGCATGCCCTTTTGGAGTTACAAACAATATGGGGAAGTGTTTTTTCTGGCTGGAAAAAAAAGTATATCAAAGTATTTACTCTACATTGCTGTAGATGATCAAAGTGATTAATGTATATAACTTTTTAATTTTTTTTGAGACAGAGTCTCGCTCTGTTGCCCAGGCTGGAGTGCAGTGGCATGATCTCGGCTCACTGCACCTCTGCCTCCAGGGCTCAAGCGATCTTCCCACCTCCGCTTCCCAAGTAGCTGGAACTACAGGTGCACACCACCATGCCTGGCTAATTTTTGTATTTTTTGTAGAGACGGAGTTTCACCATGTTGCCCAGGCTGGTCTCAAACTCGTGAGTTCAAGCGATCCACCTGCTTCAGCCTCTCAAAGTGCTGGGTTTACAGGTGTGAGCTGCCGCACCCAGCCGTATTTAACCTTTAATCCCTAGTCCCTGTGACGGCGCTTGTCATGGGCAGTAAATGGGTGAATACTCGCCAACAACCATAGCACAATGTGAGATAGAATCTTAACATTAAATAGAAGGATAAAAGCTTTAGAAAGGTAAGGAACAGAGAGTAAATTGAAGATAGAGGATTGGCCTGCCATGGGCTCTTCCAGGGAAGTTCTGTGGAAGACACAGACAAGAAGTACAGAAAAAAGAGGAAAATGTTTGTGGGAAGAGCAACTACTGTTGTCTTTCCAAAGCGGTAGGTTCATCTTAATGGTTGCTGAATAAAATAAAGCACACCTACTTAAATTTCAATTTCAGATAAACAATAATTTGCTGGTTTAAGTACATATTGCATGGGGCATACTTACACTAAAAATGTATGGAACGTACTTATATTAAAACATTGTTTTAAATTCAGATTTAACTGCATTTATATTTGCTAAATCTGGGAACTCTCCTATTCTGTGTAGAACTTGGAATTCTATATACACAGGAGACCAATGATTTGAATTGCAAAAAAGGCACATGATCAGTATCTCAGTTTGCTAAGAGAATTGTACTTGGGAATCAGAGTAAGATTGTAAAGGTTGGCTACCAGGGCGTTTCAGCAAAATGATACAGTGTGTGATTTCTAGAAAGCTGGAAATGGGAAGAGATAAAAAACAGAGAGTTGCACAACTATGGAAAAATCAAGGAACTAGTCACACAGTGATGGAGGTGCTTCAAGGACAAGATTTCTCTGTTACTGATAATCAGCTTCATTCCTGAATGATGGTGGCCTCTAGAGACCAATCAAGGACTTCTTAGCAAAAACTACAGGATTTTTTTTTTTTTTTTTTAAGAGAAGGAGTCTGACTATGTTTCCTAGGCTGGTCTTGAAACTGCTGGGTTCAAGGGATCCTCTTCTTCAGCCTCCTAAACTGCTGGGATGACAGGCATGCGCCACCATGCCCAGCCATTTAGCAAACTAAGATACTGATCATGGGCTTTCTTTGCAATTCAAACCATTGGTCTCCTGTTTATTTGGAATTCCCAGTTCTACACAGTAATATAGGACTTTTTAAGTGAGCAAAATCTGAGCACAATAAATGAATTGCTTTAGGAAGCAAATTAATTCAAAACCTACCTACTTATAACTTGAAGCAAGCAATTCTAAGATGCTCAAAATTAAGTAAAATAGTATGCATGAAATGCAAATGAAAGCCCCTGTAGGTATTATGTGAAGCTTATACCTTCCCTTGATAATTAAGGAGCCCCTGAATCCACAGAGGAAGGGAGGCCTATCCTGCTCCTTCTCAGATGTGTGAAGTTGCAGGGATTCCTATATAAACCTTACACTCTTCTTATATATCTCAAAGACAATTTCGGTGATTTCTAGGGACTGCTACTAGGCTCCTAAAATGGAAAAAGACTATGTCACCTTGTGATAAAGCAGCAGTTCTGCCCGCAAATGTCAGCCTCACTTCTTTCTATATATCAGAAAAATTCTTCCATTCCCTCCAGCCATATTGTAGCCCTCCAGTGGTTTTGGCAACACAGATGCTCCTACACTTATGATAGAGATACACCTCAATAATCCCTTCATACATGGAAAATATCATAACTCAAAATGCACTTAACATGTGGACAGACCCAGTAAAAAGTCCTAAGTCAAACCATCGTAAAGTTCAGACGTTCCTTGACTTCTGATGAAGTTATGTCCTGAAAAATTCGTAATAAGCTTGCACAATCTTAAGTTGAACCATTGTACGTCAAGGACCGTCTGTATAATGAAAGGAGGTGCATGCATTTTGAAGAACAAGTTCATATACTTGTAAAATAACATTCCATTTTGTAGGCAGATGTTTGACATTACTAAAAGTAAAGTTCCATGAACAGTGCAATATTTAAAAAGGTGATTTAAATGTTCACCAAAGTTTTGTAGAGATACACCAACTTTCAAGTGTCTTTTCTGGTGACTGAGTCAATTGGAGCTATAACCAACTACAAAATGTATAATAAGCATATCAGGACTCTGAGATAATTTTTATATCAATAGCTCAACTGATTTAAAGGAAACCTTCAGAGAGCTCTAAAGAGAAGTTCTCCCAATCCACCTCCAGGCACAACTGCTCCAGCTATCAGTGTGGATGGGCCTGGAATGATCATTTTCATCTTGTTTCTAGAGGTCCTGTCTACTATTCCCCTCACCCATTGCCAGACCAAAGAATATAAGTATCTACCTAAAGTATATAGGTTTGGATGCTGTCAAGAACTTGGAAGATTTCCCACTTGACATCTGGGCAATGGTGTCATAGCCAGTTGCAGAACACGTACATCGCACCCACACACACATGCGTACATACGTCTCAACCCCAAGCTCTGCTTAACTTGACCCAAGCCTTTAAGACCAAAACTTAAATTTCAAAACAATGTGCTGGGTGCCATGGCTCACGCCTGTAATCCCAGCACTTTGGGAGGCTGAGGCAGGAGGATCACTTGAGCCCAGGACTTCAAGACCAGCCTGGACAATGTAGTGAGGCCCAGTTTCTTAAAAAAAAAAAAAAATTAGCTGGGTATGGTGGTGTGTGCCTGTAGTACCGGCTCCTTGGGAGGCTGAGGTAGGAGGTTCACTTGAGTATAGGAGGTTGAGGCTACAGTGAGCCATGATTATGTCACTGCACTCCAGCCTGGGCAACAGAGGGAGACCCTGTCTTAGATAGATAGATAAATAGATAGATACATAGATAGATAGATAGATAGATAGATAGATAGATAGATAGATAGATAGATAGATAGATGAAATGTTCCCAAGGCTTTCTATCACTAATAATAATAATATGCATGCTAGTGAGGAATGAGACTTTTCAAATATATGAAAGCAGTTCTTTCCAAGTAAATACTAATGTTTAAGTATGGAAATAGAAGTATGAAATTTAAAAAAGGTAACATCTCTCATAAAAAGGAGAACCATCCGAGTCTAATACAATGCATGTAGCCAGATTTGAAAATGCTTCTTAACTGTCTTGATAAGTTTCTATAGTATGTTTTGAAAGTGACCACATGTTTCAGAATTCTATATATTTCAGAATGAACTCAAGATGTTTTTAGACCTGAGTTAACCAAATGTCAGAACTAGTAAATTATAGAAAGTTCTCAATTTGGATTTCCAGTCCTCATGTCCAGATACAGGTAAATTTCAAACCTGACTCAGGCTATGTGTGTGGAAAGCCAAACACCTGGGCAATGTTGCAGCCAAAGATTTATGCATTTCCACCTTCTTCATTTTTTTTGAGATGGAGTCTCACTGTCACCCAGGCTGGAGTGCAGTGACACAATCTCAGCTCACTGCAACCTCCACCTCCCAGGTTCAAGTGATCCTCTCACCTCAGCATCCAAAGTAGCTGAGATTACAGGCACCAGCCACCACACCTGGCTAATTTTTGTATTGTTAGTAGAGACAGGGTTTTACCATGTTGGCCAGGTTGGTCTCGAACTCCCGACCTCAGGTGATCTGCCCACCTTGGCCTCCCAAACTGCTGGGATTACAGGCATGAGCCACCACGCCCAGCCTCACCCTTTCTTTAAAAAACAAAAATACACCTGATGATCACAGAAGGCTAGATTCAATGGACAAATCACAAAGTCCAACTCATGAATGTGACCATGCCAGGGTCCTGTAAATTCTGACATCTAATTGGTTATCTTCAATTTTAGAAAAGCCCTCAAAGGGTACTGTCCCTTGAATGTGGTCTTTATAAGCCCAATAAAAGATGAGAAAGATAAAACATATGGGAATTTACCACCAGAAAGGAAACTCTTGATTTTGGTTAACATGTATTGTAGGAATAATGAAATCCTGACCCAGATCTTGTCCTTCATATCCAGGAAAGCGCTAACAACATGCTGCTTGAGTTGAGATTCAAGGAAAACCATTCCTGAAGACTTTTCTGAGACTCTTTCCTGGCTTATGCCATTCCATAAGCCCCATAAGGAAACTTTCCTATATGAGCAAAGGATTAGCTATAGGATGGTATACAAGTCAGCACTGGTTAAACCCCTAGGTACATTTTATGTTTTCCCTACATACCACATGCTAAACCTTTTAGCACATCGGTATGCATAGATGGGGCAAAGAAGAAGACATACTACTTACTATGTTAAGTCTACCTATTTGGAATTAATTCAGTCCATTATTACCTTCTTTTGATAGAAAATCATACCTCCTGCATTATGCAAGCAATAGCTGATATTTGTAATAGTGTACAAACAGTGGCAGGTATTCACTCCATCACAGGTTTCCTACCTAATCAAATGAAAAGGAATAATAAGAGATCCTAGTTTTCAAACGGCTGGTATTTAATATCCATAACAACTTCAAAACCGAAAAATAATGTGATGCCTGTCAGATGATCTCCCATCCTTTGAAAAGGTTAGAACTGTTTTGAGCAGTTCAGCTTGTGTATCACAGGGAATGGTAGCTGTATTGTAACACCAAGCTGTCTGTTATTTCAAAGTGGTAATTTGTTCCTTCCTTCAATCTAAATGTACCGTGGTTTTTGTTAGAGAGCTAACATGTATAATGTGATGCTTTCCTGGGGTGAGTAAATTTTTTTTCTTCTCCTTGACTGATTCTTAATCATAGAATAATTTTCTAGCTAGCCCAGCTCTACGATGTCATCCTGAATCCTGACACCAAGGACATGACCCCATTCAGGATGTGAAGGGAACTGAAAGAGGGCACCCTGATTGAGAAGGGACTTCGCCTGGATGGGCAGTGTGGTATAGGAACGGTTACAGGCTCACTTTGGTGGGCAGTGTGGTATACAGAGGGTTATAGACTCACACAGGAGGAGTAGGTCTGAATCCTGACTGCCGAGTTTTTGCCAAGAACAAGTCCCTTAAATTTTGAGTTTTTTAATATTAAAAATAAGAGCATTGAAGTTGATCTTTAAAGTATTTCCATCTCTGATTCTGCAGTTGATAAAATTCTGTAGCTATTACGGTTGCACGTGGAAGCATTTTGTAAAATTTGAAGTGAGATTATGCATCTTTTTTTCTTGTAACACTTTTTAAGTACTGTATTTTCAGGTGGAACAATGGGAAAAGTAAAAGCATGTCAAGCAACAAAGCTAAACCCTTCATTTTACAGATGAGGAAACCAGTGGCATATCCTCCTGGGTCCTCGTGCCCTTTCACTCTGCCTCTTTTGTTAAACCCAGTGGCTTTGCATAAGTCACCAGAAGTCTTCCAGTGTCATTTTATTAGACTGATTTCATTCAGATATCTTGGGTCCCAGTGTTTTCCCATTAGTCTTAATCAGCCTAAAATCTTTTTAATCCTGTCCTTCCTGGAGCCCTCCCTGAATCACTGGCCTTGTGTATGACTCCTTTGCATTGACTGGATTGAGAATTTTCCATTCTCTCTTTCTCTCAAATGTCTGTTGCAATTTTAGTGAAACTTTTCACACTGTCCTTAATTTTACACAAAATCTGCAAAAAGAAAAATCTTTTTTTGCACATTGTATTGTTGGTGCAAATGTAACTGCGGTTTTGGACCATGGATTTTGAATCATAACTAGGCTCAAATACATCTTTATTAATCAAAATAGGAACCATTACAATCAACACATTTTTGCCAATGAGAAATAAGTTTGTTTATTCCTGTAGCATAAAATTCCATGCTTTGGGATTCGGTAAACTCTCGAAAGCATTTTCTGCATCCTGCTGGTTGTGGAAGCATTTTCTCTGCAAAAAGTTATTGAGATGCTTGAAGAAGTGGCAGTCGGTTGGCGAGAGGTCAGGTGAATATGGCGGGTGAGGCAAACCTTCGTAGCCCAATTCATTCAACTTTTGAAGTGCTGGTTGTGCAACGTGCAGTTGGGAGTTGTCATGGAGAAGAATTGGGCCCTTTCTGTTGACCAATGCCGGCTACAGGCGTTCTAGTTTTCGGTGCATCTCATCCATCTGCTGAGCGTGCTTCTCAGATGTAATGTTTTCGCTGGGATTCGGAAAGCTAGAGTGGATCAGACTGGCAGCACACCACCAAACAGTGACCATGACCTTTCTTTTTTTTGGTGCAAGTTTGGCTTTGGGAAGTGCTTTGGAGCTTCTCAGTCCAACAGCTGAGCTGGTTGTCACTGGTTGTCATATAAAATCCAATTTTCGTCGCCTGTCACAATCTGATTGAGAAATGGTTCATTGTTGTTGCATAAAATAAGAGAAGATGACTCTTCCAAACAACAATTTTTTTTTGCTCAGCTCATGAGGCACCCACTTATCGAGTTTTTTCACCCTTCTAATTTGCTTCAAATGCAGAATGACCATAGAATGGTCAATGTTGAATTCTTCAGCAACTTCTCGTGCAGTTGTAAGAGAATCAGCTTTGATGATTGCTCTCGAGTAGTCGTTGTCAACTTCCAATGGTCAGCCACTCTGCTCCTCATCTTCAAGGCTCTCTTCTCCTTTGCAAAGCTTCTTGAACCACCACTGCACTGTACGTTCATTAGCAGCTCCTGGGCCAAATGCATTGTTGATATTGCAAGCTGTCTCCACTGCTTTACGACCCATTTTGAACTAAAATAAGAAAGTCACTCAAATTCGCTTTTTGTCTGACATCATTTCCATAGTCTAAAATACACATTAACAGCAAGTAATAAGTCATTAGCAAAAAATGCATAACACGAGAAATGCCCATTAAAATTATGTATACCATAACCACATTTATTTAAGAATGTATTCCAATATCAAATGGCAAATTCCAACAATGCAAAAACCGCAGTTACTTTTGCATTCACCTATAATAAAGGTTTTCAAACTAGTTACTTGTTATCTCAAAGCTGGTTTAAGATATTGTAAGATCTGAAGTCAAATGTTCTGTACTGCACTTTTATATAGTTGATACAGAGAATATCAACATTATATTTGAAACTACAGATTTAAAATGTTTCTCTGAAAATATTCAAGAGATCTAGCATGAAACTGATTCTTTCAAGCAAACAGGTTATAAGGGTATCTTTCAGTTTCATTAGATTTGATTACCTTGCATTCTTAACGTGCTTTACCTTTAAATTTTATTTTCTTTGCATACTGTGTTGAGTATTCATGATAGTTTTTTTTTTTTTTTTACTATGGTTACTTTTATTTGCTTTCATTTTATTTTCTTTATAACCTATTTTTCCTCTCCTGTCCACCTGATTTTTGAACTGTTTGTCTGTATATAGCTGTAGACATAGATGCTACTGGCTTAGATGCAGAAGAAAATGATATTCCAGCAAACCACCGCTCCCCTAAACCCAGTGCAAACAGTGTAACGTCACCCCACTCCAAAGAGAAACGAATGCCCTTCTTTAAGAAGGTAACATTAACTTCCAAGCTCCCATTGTCCACCTGCTCAACTGCACTGCGTCACATTTCTAGTCCTGTTGACTGTCTGCGTCCTTTGACAAGCCAATAACGTGCATGCTCTGTTATTTGTTTCTTTTCCACGCTGCTGTAGCTAAGCAGAAGCAGAAATCGGTAAGTTTACATTGACATAAGCTGTGTTTATCCTGCCACTGGCATCATTAGCATTAATTCCCACAGTTGTATTAAATACAATCATTTCTGTCCCAAGCAAAGAACTTATCAACAGCTAATTGAGTTCATGCATTTCAAACCAACTAAATTCAGGGAGTGACCTGTTAAAACACTATTACAGTACTTATCCTTTTTGATGGAATAATATCTACCACCAAGGGAATTTGTTTCAACATTCAAGGATGTCAAACACTGACAGCTCCATATAATGCACCTAAACTGTGCATGCTTATTCTGTCTGTCTCTTTCTTTTATCCAGAAATTTAACTTATGATCAAACATATTAAAGCAGTTATTAAACTCTGACTTATGATATCCAGATACATAGCTTGTACTAAACAAAAGTATTCAAGTTTTAATTTAGTCAGTATTTACACTTCTAATCCACTAGGTGCAAAATCTGCAGATGAACAAGACCAGTGGAAAACTGCAGGCTTGTTTTGGCGGTTTACTGTGAGTTTTTCCTATTGTCATATATAAATATTCTCCCGATGTTCTTGCCTTCTCCATCAGTCAGATTTTAGCATCTCACCCATTGGACAGTGCAGCCGGTGGTCACGCGTAGAGCCTTTGCCATTGGCCATCCAAGATGCTACACAGTGAGGCTCCTTGTCCCCTACATGGAAACTATAGGGTATTTCTGAGCTCTCGTTACTTCAGACAAAGCCTGTTTCCTCTTACCTATTTTGTAGCTTCATAGCATTATTTTTTAAGGACCACTACCCTCCCCCCAAATTTCCCTTTTATTTCCCTCTTTGACCCATCAGTTTCTACAGCTACCATGCTGTCTTTTAGAGTCATACTAATGTCGCCAAGTCTGGCAAAACCGTGGATATATTCTCACACGCAGATGTGATGTCAAGTCTGTCCATCCTCTGCCCTCAAACTCTCCACATAATGAACACTTTTCCTCTGCAAACAAGTATTTTGGTTTGTGGAGGAACTCTAAAGTCATTAATGAGGTGTCAGATAGTGAACTGTAAAGTTGGCTTTTTTGAATCAGCTATGACTACTTTAACAAGGGAAAACTTCAGCACTCCAGGCAAAATTTGCAACACTTGGAAATTTGCATTAACACAGAAGCCTCAGCTTGATGTTCATCCACAACAGTGGGCCCATCTCTCAGGTCTGATCTTCTTGTTATAGCTAAAGCTTGCAGCCAAGTGACTAACAGTGTCCATCATTCAGAAGCTTAGAAAATTGGCATCGCTAAGACATTCTGGACTTGACAGAGCAGGAATGTGAACTAAAACCATGTTTGTCAAGATAGGTTTTTGAAGTTTGCTTACCTTTAAATTCTAAAACTTTAAAAATGTTTATCACAATTTTTTTCAATAATTTGAGCAGGCAGGGCGCAATGGCTCACACCTGTAATCTCAGCACTTTGGGTGACTGAGGCAGGTGAATTACCTGTGGTCAGGAGTTTGAGACCAGCCTGGCCAACACGGTGAAACCCCGTCTCTGCTAAAAATACAAAAAATTAGCCTGGTATGGTGGCGGGCACCTGTAATCCCAGCTACTTGGGAGGATGAGGCAGAAGAATTGCTTGAACCTGGAAGGTGGAGATTACAGTGAGCCGAGATCGTGCCACTGCATTCCAGCCTGGGCAACAGAGCTAGACAACTCTGTCTCCCCCTCCCCCCCACAAAAAAGTCAGCTAAATAGGGTTAACAGGAAAGAGTAGATAAAAATGATGGTGTCATTCTTCACAGGGCACAACGCACCAATATTCCATCAAATAAGGTAATTTCTGTAGCTACCCTATTGATTAAGAAGCTGATTGATTACCAGCAATGGGTGATCCTTTGCTAGCTGGAAGTTATAGATCGAAGGAACCAAAGACCTATCAAACACTGGGCCACTTCAGAATTAAAGTCTTGAGATAAAATTTCTTGGTAGCTGTTACTAAAATGCAGGACATTTACATTCCTAATCTCAACGGTGGAAAAGGTGTTCTTACACCGCATAGTTATAAGGACTTGGCTTCTAAACATTTTCAGTATGGTCCCAGGTGGTAGACATGAAATAATTTAAGAAATATGCTTATGATGCCTTCGGCACTGGTATTCATTCTTCTTATGTTATTAATAATGTGGTTAAAATCAATGTAGAATTCAAAAGCAAAACAATGGCCTAAGATTCAATGAGAAGATTGTTTTCTGTGTTTTAGGTTGCTTTTAGAGTGATGCTTGTGTGGTATATGTGTGCTGTCACTATATTATGTTCGTCTTGTTTTTTTTTTTCTGTTCAAAACTGTATTCTACCTTGATTATGTCAATTAAAATGAATTCTGAATGCTAGATGAAATTTTAGGCAGTGAAATTTGACAGCATAGTCATGGTAATATTTTTTTCCCCTCTGATTATATCGTCTATGACTACGGGTGATATCTCAGATGGAAGCTTTTGAATTTGAAATGCTTTTTAATAGCCCCCTGAGGCAATGTGAATTCAAATGAAGCCAGAAAAGTTTGTAATGGGCAATTTTAAGCAACAATAAAATGTTCTTGAGTGATGGGCAGATGGAAAAATGACATTCATATTTGCACATCAGTGTATTGATTTCTTAAAATCGTTTACAGAACATTTTTCTGTTGGTGTGTGTCATTCTCAAGTTATATTTTTTGACACTCCTTAGCCAGGAAGATTCATATAGCAATGATTTGCTTATCCCTGTGTCTAAGGGCATATTGCTCTTCTGCATTCTTTTTAAAAAAGTCATCTTTGGGTCAATTTAATATTTTATGCTATCAAAAGAGTTAATTTTAATATAAACCAATTAGCTGTTACTTAATTTTTGAAAGATGTTATTTAACCATTTTATTTGAAGCAATTAACCTGAAAAGTGTTGATAGTTTTAGAAATTGCTACAAAATTTAGCTTCTCCCCTCTTATTAAAAAGAAATTACTGCAGAAAGACATGATCTGTTATCTAACAGAAACACTACTTTTGAGAATCTCAAAACTACTTTTGAGAATCATATTAGATACGCACATTGATAATGAACCTTTTGAGACCACTATAGCATGGTTGAATATATTATTATACATTAATCACCTACCCTCGAAGACACATAAACCTTACCTTTGAAGTACCAAGGTATAGAAACCAAAAAATCCAAAAGCATTGATCTCTAAGCTGTGAGCAGGGATCATGATTACTGTTTACTAGAATAAGCATGCATGCTCATTTACACTCTTGCAATAAAATAGAATTTTGACAGTAGTGAGAGTTACAATATTTTGAGAGTAGGTAAAAAGTATTGGTAGTGAGAGTTACAATATTTTGAAATTAGGTTTTACACAGGTAAGACAAACACGTAAGATGCAAAGGTAATGAAATCTTTCTTTCCTCTGTAATTAACCATATTAGGTCTAATCACTACAACTCTTTAGAAAATTCAAATGCAGCCAAAAAGCAATATTAACTTCTAGTCAAGCCTAAAGCACCTATCTTGCATGAGGCATGTTTCTCTTTGTTCTATCAACTAGTTTTTGTTCAAAAGCAGCATCTCTTGCTTTAGGAACAAATAGGTCTGTAGCATTTCTTGAGATGAGCAAGAAAACTGTAGACAACATTAACTTGAAACTTTAGGAAAATGAACCCACCAATCTTCGATTGGGTGTATGTAGAAAAGAGACAAGTGGGGGAAAAAAAAATGTCTGGAAAGCCAGTGCCTCATATTACAGAGTTCAGAAAGAGTACCTTATACATAAAATATTTATGTTCCACCTGCCTGTGAAACGTCTTAAAGCCTCTCCTCTCTCTGCAGACAGAGCACACTCCTCCATATGATGTGGTACCTTCCATGCGACCAGTGGTCCTAGTAGGCCCTTCTCTGAAGGGCTATGAGGTGGGTAGCAGCCTTCAACAGAAGCTTGACTGTTGCATGCTTAACTTCTTTGTGATGCTGCCTCCTACTCCTGACCCTCTCTCTGAATTTTACAGCTTAAGGAGCCAACTTTAGAGCTTAGAGAGCTCATAGCAGCAAAGCATGTTGTTCTGCAAGCTGTGGAATACACTGCTTCGTCCTTTTTCTGTTTTGTTTACCTGGCTGTTGCTTTGAAGATTTCTGCTAGCTGCAATGTACTCAGTCCAGAAAATAGTGTCAAATGGAGACCGATTGAAACCACTTGCAGTCTTGTCCCTAAAATATCATGATAAGTTCAGTTTAATTGTCATTGCATCAGAACTCAGAAGCAGAAAAATGCGGCAACCTCATATTGCCACTCTTTCCAAATGCAAAGCTCAGGTTTTCAAGTGTTCCTAAGAGAAGTAAAATTATTTTATCATCATTAGTAATTTTTTTTGGTCGTATCTTAATTTATTCCTTGCTCAATTGCAGGTCACAGATATGATGCAAAAAGCGCTGTTTGATTTTTTAAAACACAGATTTGAAGGGCGGTGAGTATTTCAGCATACTGGGTTTTGTGGATTTTGTCTTAAAGATAGCAAAACCCTGGTGGGACAGGCATGTGATTCCAAGAGAAAACAGCCCTCTGATGTCTATACAATGACAGGAAATAAGTTTCACTCAATTTAATCTGATTCAATCAATATTTATCATATTTGCTTTGTACATCCTTAACCCTTGATGTCTAGTTCCTGTACCTGCATCCATAAGCAGACCTTGGGCAGGACACCACTGGCCGGTCTCATCCTCAATTCATGGTCAACTGGCCCTCTATTGCTGCCCAGGGATTGCACTAAATATCCCTTTTCCATTCAATTTTCCACTCTTCTAAAAGACTTCTGTGTCATCTCCCCTTCCTTAAAGCTCTGCTAACCCCTTCTCATCTCACGATCCCCCAGTGAACTTACCTCCCTGTGTCATTGAGAAAATAAAGGCAAATGGAGGAGAACATCCAGGCATTTCCACAACTCTGCCTGTGGAGTTGCATGTTTGCCTGGGTGCTCTGCTTTATCTCCAATGACTATGTTCCCAGCAAGGGCCAATCCACCATGTGGGTACTGGATCTCATTCCCCATCCCTGCTCTGCTAGAAGTATCCATATACAGCCGTAATCATCCTTTGCTCTCTTCTCATCAGTATTTCCTGTTCTAATGGAAACTCCATCACCATGTAAAAATGTTACTTCCTCTCACATTCGACCTCATATTGCTCTAGGTGTGTCATTTTTTTTTTTCTTTTCTTTACAGGAAGATTCCTTGAAAGAATTGAGTGTACTGGCTTTCCTTCCACTTTCTTCAGCCTACCCCAGTTATGTTTTCACCCACACCACTCAGCTAAACTGGTCAAGATCACCCACGACCTTCACATTGCTAAATCCAGGGATAAATTTTCAGCCAGAATCTTACTTGACCATGAACAATAGTTGACATGGTGGATTATTCCATCCTCTTTGAAATACTTTGTTTGGTTTCTGGAACCACACTTTTCTGGTTTTCCTTCTGTCACACTGACTACTCCTTTCTCTGCTTTGCTGGTACTTCCTCATCAACTGGAAATCTTGGACAGCCCAGGGCTAAATTCTTTGATGTCTTTTATCTACATTCCTTTAGTGATTTCATTCAGCATCAGATTTTTAAATTCCATTCCTTTGCCAGTCTTTCCTCTAAATTCTAGACCCATGTATACAATTGCCTATTCATTATCACTACTAAGATGTCTAATGGACTTTTCAAACTTAACCTCCCCTAAAACCTACTCCTCCTATGGTCTTCCCTATCTCAATTAATGGCTTATCTTTCAGTCCCGAGACCCTTCAGCCCAGATCATTATCCTTGACTATTCTTTCTGTTGTATTTCACATGCAAATGGTGTTGTCTGTATCTTCAAAATATATTCAGAATCGAAGCCCTTCTCACACATCCTCTGCCACCATTTTGGTCTGAGACATCTTCATCTCTTCCCTGGATCGTTGCAACAGCCTCCCGCCTCATCTCCTTGCTTCTGTGGTTGTTTCCTTAAAGACTGTGCTCAGGTCAGCTGCTGCATGACCCTGTTAAGATGTGAGCTAGTGCTCACCACTCCTTTACTCAAAACCATCCAATGACTTCTTTTTTTCTGAGTAGAAACCAAAGTCCTACAGTGGCCTATCTGACCTCCTATGGTCTATTCTTCCACACAACCGTACCTAGACTTTCTCTTGCTGCTCTTCCCTCGCTCATTCTCACCCTGCCGTACTTACTCCGTTGCTGTTCTATGAGTGTTCCAGACAGATTACACAATCACCTCGGGGCCTTGGCACTTTGCGGTTCCTTTTGCAGGAACACTTTTCCCTCAGATATTCTTCTTGGTATAAGTGCATACACGTATGCACACATGCACACGTTCATTCTGTGTCTCTCCTTTCCCTGACTTTGTTTTCTAGTGCTCTTTTATGTATTTCCAGTACTATTTTTGTTTATTGTCATTCTCCCATAACTAGACGATAAACTCTATGAGGGCAGGGTTTGAGAATGTTTTGTGAACTGTTGTGTTCTCAGTGCCTGGAGCAGTACTCAACATGAGCAGTGGCCAGATGAATTTTGAATGAATGTCTGCTGCGTACTCTCTGCTAGAGAAATGCAGAGATGGTGAAGCCAGTCTCTCCCTATGAAGAGCTCTCATGGAAACCATAAATTGAAACCTGTAGCAGTAACACTGAATATAAGTAAAAGGGCAACCTGGTATATGCATGCATAAGGTACAGGTAGCATAAAGGGAGGTGTAATTAACACCAACTTAAGGACATCCACATCCTGGAAGAGTTTTTAAATGGTGCCTAAGATTTGACCAAATGGATTACAGGGGAGAGAAGGGTATGTTCAGCAGATGGTATATAGTGTGTGAAGGTTTTGAGGTATGACACAGCATTATGTGTAAGGCAACTCACACCCAGATCTTAAGGACCTGGGCAAGATGTGACCGTTAACAAACCCAAGGGTTATATCTAGTGTGTCACGCCAATGGGCTTGGACTTAATCCTTTCTCTCTCCTCCTCCTCCCCCGTCACTATTCAACTTGCCTCAGTAAATATTTATTGAGTATATTCTGTGTGCCAGGCATTGTGAGGAGCAAAAATAGACAAGGGCCTTGGCTTTGTGAAGCTTAAAGTCTATTGAAAGTCAGTCTTGAATCAAATAATTGATGGGTGCCATCATTGAATGTTAAGCCAGCTCCTGAAGCATCAAAGACATGACTAGAGTCCAAAATGGAAACCTCAAAGTTTAAGAGTAGCTTATTACAGGGGACCTGGAACATACAGGCTAGTGTATATTTCTGTATTTTTAACCAGATAAATGCAGTGCTTCTCTTCTCCACATTCCTTTCCTCCTCCCATCCTAACAATGCAACTACAATAGATCAGGACTCCCCAACCCCTGGGTCACGGATCAGTACTGGTCCATGGCCTGTTAGGGGCCACACTGCAGGGGGTGAGTGGCAGGGGAGTGAGCAAAGCTTCATCTGTATTTACAGCCACTCCTCATCACTCACACATTACTGCCTGAGCTCAGCCTCTTGTCAGATCATCAGCGGCATCGGATTCTCATAGGAGCACAAACTGTACTGTGAACTGTGCATACGAAGGATCTAGGTTACACGCTCCTTAGCAGAGTCTAATGTCTGGTGTTCTTTCACGGTCTCCCATCAACCTCAGAAGGGACCATCTAGTTGCAGGAAAACAAGCTCAGGCTCCCACTGATTCTACATTAGGGTGAGTTGTAGAATCATGTCATTATCTATTCCGATGTAATAATAATAGAAAGAAAGTGCACAATAAATGTAATGTGCTTGAATCATCCCAAAACCATCTCCCCACTCCTACTGAACCGGTCCATGGAAAAATTCTTTCATGAAACTGGCCCCTGGTGCCAAAATGGTTGGGGACCGCTGCAGTAGCTAGTATTTGTTGGTTTCAGGATTCTTTTACATTTCTTAGTATAGTACTTTCTTTCTAGACCACACCTACTACTACAACCATTTCTAATTTATATTGACTTTTGGCAGGGGAGGCAAGGGCAGGAGGGAAACTTTTGTAGGAGGACAAGTATTGTTAGTAAGGGACCAAGCAGGCTGGGCACGGTGGCTCACGCCTGTAATCCCAGCACTTTGGGAGGTGGGTGGATCACGAGGTCAGGTGTTCAAGACCAGCTTGGCCAACATGGTGAAACCCTGTCTCTACTAAAAATACAAAAATTAGCTGGGTGCGTTGGTGGGTGACTGTAGTCCCAGCTACTTGGGAGGCTGAGGCAGGAGAATTGCTTGAATCCGGGAGGCGGACGTTGCAGTGAGCCGAGATCATGCCACTGCACTCCAGCCTGGGCAACGGAGTGAGACTCTGTCTCAAAAACCAAAAACAAAACACAACAACAACAAAAAAAGTGATCAGGCAAAGAACTGAAAGGAGAGAATGAGGAAAACAAAAACTATTATAAGTTTCAAGGTATGAAAAGGCTTTATAATCAAGGACTTCATAACCAAATATTCCTAATTAGATTTTAAAATTTTCCATATCTTTAAGAAATATTTTTTCAGTTTGTGCCAGGAAAATAGAACCTTTAGCTTGGACCAAGGCTACCAGACACTGGCCAAGTATAAAAGGTGTATCTCTAATCTGCTCCATTTAGCTTTTGTTTCTTTATCCTTGGCTCTGTCATTTATCACAATTTGGAATTGTCAACATGAGCCTGAACACTAAAAAAATTCTGCTAACAAAGGCATTGTGTTTTCCATGCCTGAGTCAACCCACTGCCCTTTCCTAAATGCCAAAGATGGGGAAATGGGATGGAATTTCCTGGATTACAACTTGTACTTAAACCTGAGTAAGTTTTGAACTTGGAAGACACATTCTAGCCAGAGAGGGTGGATTTTGGACCCATGTTCAAGTGTATCAACCACCTAGATTGGTTTTATTTAAGAAACAGATGAACAAAATACCTTAAAGTATCTGTTTTTTTCTAGCCAGAAGTAATTTCCGTATGGTTTAATAGACTTGTCTTGGCTCATCTTGACTTATAGAGGCTGGGGTTCAATATTCTAGCCCTGTTGTCCCCAGTTAACAGTCCTCAAGAGGAGGAAACAAGTCCATAAGGCAGACTTGAAAAGCCATGTACAAATTTAACATTTTTACCCATGGCAAGACATCTAGAGTAACTGAATTATTGACTGTCTGTGCTTTTAGCAAGGCAAGACAGCAACAGAGGATGAAAATTCATCAAAAGCATCAGGTGTGTATGCACACATGACATTTTAAAAGAGAAAAATGAATTATTCCTTAATCATCTATTAAATAAGCTAAATTTATTTTATTTTTTTTAAAGTTTAAGCCCAAGAGGAGAAAATATGAAAGGAAATGTTAGTTATGCAAAAGGTTCTAGGTAGTCAAGAATTCCTTTTCTTTTCTGAAACCCACTTATATTCATTTGCAGAAGCCCTGGGGGCTTGTGAGAATCACATTCTGGTTAAGTAGTGTCAGTGTGTCAGATCAAAGAAGAAATAAATCCTCCTCCTCCTCCTGTTGTGTGTAATAAAGTAGCCCATTTAAAACTGGATTCACAGTAACCAACTGTGTCATGTAAACAAAGCAATCTTCAGATTCACCTTGTAGGATGGTGACAGGTAAATTAACAAGGAAATTGAGAACAAGAAGGAAAGCTACTTGAGATAAAGTCAAGTTTTTTTTTGTTTTTTCTTCAGTGACTTTCAAAACATCAGCAATCAGCCCTGAAGTGTTTGGAATACATACTGAATTGCTATAGGGATAAATATACCATTGCCAGAATCTTCTGCAGTACACTGTTACTAGAAATCAATCATCCCAGGGCTGGGCGCAATGGCTCTCACCTGTAATCCCAGCACTTTGGGAGGCTGAGGCAGGCAGATCACTTGAGGCCAGGAGTTTGAGACCAGCCTGGCCAACATGGTGAAACCTGTCTCTACTAAAAGTACAAAAATTAGCTGGGTGCAGTGGTAGGCACCTATAATCCCAGCTACTCAGGAGGCTGAGGCAGGGGAATCGCCTGAACCCAGGAGGCGGAGGTTGCACTGAGCCAAGGTTGTGCCACTGTACTGTAGCCTGGGTGACAGAGCGAGAC